TCTCTAATTTATTTTGTATTTTATAATTAATTTAAAATAAATTTAATCGCATTTGATTATATTACATATTTTAAAACCAATTGTATTTTGAACTTCTTTATTTTTTGGCATATTAAATTTAAAATTCAGGCTAAGGCTAATTGTAATAAAAGGAGTAGTATTCTTTCGACTAAAAGTATAGTCTATATAATTATTCAAAATTGATTATCAAAATTGATTGATTTCAAAGTAGTTGTAATTCATTATTTAAGATTACAAAGATTAATACGAGAAATTTTTAGTTTAGGAATCTTAAAGGATATTCTTGGATAAAATAGAACTGTAATGGTAACTTTATATTACAAGTCTATCTTTGTAAGTAGTTACAAACTGTCGAAATCTATATATTTGCTTTGTAGGTTTTGTGTGTGAAACGCCTGATCGAACAGCAAATACATAGCTTTTTGACAGTTTGTTACTAGCAATCCATACGAAGATATACTATACCATACCCTTAATGTAATGATACCCTAACATTTCTATTTCATCGGAGAATTGGGCATTAAACTTTATACAGCGAACCACAATATTCAATAAAAATCTGGCATTATCTGTTTTTATAGAATAAAATGTAGTTATGAAATAAATTGAATTTGAAATTAAAATTATTAGGAGTTTCGAATTTTAGTCTTATAATATCTAATGCAACAATAAAGCAGTAGAGGGTTATCGTAGCTTATTCAAGAGTTTTCACCATAAAATTTCTCATTTTAGGGAAAATTATTTTTGCAGTAGGACACCCTCTCTAATAATGTGTACTGTTGTGCGGTGCTTTTACAAAGTCTCGTTAAAACTCGAAAAATTTATTTAACCCGGTCCGTCGTGTTTACGGGAACACGTTTTTTTTTTGATGCTAGTTTTATTTATTTTTAATATAGCGGTGTGAAATTTTGCGGTCGCGTATTTTATTTTTCCCGAAAACAATATTGAACGATATATATATATATATATATAATAATATATATATATATATATATATATATCATGCGAAAACTTTACTTTGTGGTTTATTTTTTCTATGGTAAAACTTTTCTCTGTGGTTGATTTTAATTTTATCAGTAATTCCACATTTTTGATATATACACTTATACAAATGACCTGTATATATACAAATATATTCTCATTTAAAATATCTTTGCTAAATCAGTACATAAAGGTTTATAGAAATGTTTTGCTGAACGTTTTACATTTACTTGGAGTTTTTGTGAACCTATCCATGCTGAAAATTTATATATATTTTAATTTTAGAGTCACCTAGATTCCAAACATCTTTTCAATAACACAAAAAGGGATACCATTGGGTAAACTCTATTTTGGTCTTAACATTACATATTGTCATTCATAATCACATTTTTTTTTTGTGTTTTAAAAACAGGTAGTAATTGAATCTTGAGAAAAAAAAGTATTTTAATTGGATGGGGTTTTTATGGTAATATTAGAGAACTTTTCTTCAATTTTTAATTTAAAGCAACCTCTATGCAACCACTAGCATTGTGTTGGTCCTTACATCGGAATTTAAAAGAATTAAAAAATATAGTCTATTAATATGATATAGAATTTATACTACTATCTATAATTGTATATAATGACTTAAATCAAAATTACATGTAGAATGCAATTATATTCTGATTGCCACTCGGGAAAAAAAGAAAATCCGATTAGGAACTCCAATTATTTTGATTGAGGCTGATTAACATTTTTCAATTTTTTCATTGTCATATATTCTAATTAATTCCAAATCAGTATAGTGTATCATGTAATTTTAATTACATGATACATTTAGGTGTACAATTTATTATTATTATGTTCTGTATTTATTTATAACATGTAAATATATTTTGATTAAAAAAGAAGCCTGGTTATATGGAATTTTGTTTACACTCGCGAAAACTATGGCATTATCCCAGGCGTATTAATTTATATTGATAATTGAAAATTGTATATGTTTTTGTTATTTGTATTTTGCCATTTCATTTTATTTGAAAATTTTATGTAAATATAGTAAAATGCAGTTGGAATTGATTGACGAATTAGCTTTTTTAACGATAGAAAAAATGGTAATTAATGGATAAATAAACAAAAGCATTTAGAAAATGATTTTTTATCAAGTTTTAAGTAAAGATGAAATTGTCGGTCTTTTAAGAATAAACTATTTTTTTTTACTTTGATATGAATAATTAAAAATTAAAATCAAATACTTACCAAAGCAGCAAATTATCAAATTAGCAAAAAGCAAATAGGAACTAAAGGAAAAAAAAGTTACACACAACAAGTTTTGGCTTACCTTTTATATTGAAAATAAAATAATTGTAATCTCATTTACTTTCTGGACGATTCGTTTTCCATAAATATTTTACCTGTGCCAACATCAGACGGTTCTGGTCAGATTCCAGCACCTGATCATGTGTGAAATATTGATGATATTTAGTTATGCAATAAGCCATTATTTCGCCAGTCTTCGAACATTTACAACGTTAGCGGAATTCCAAATAGAGATTTTAAAAAATGATAACACAGATTCATTTTAGTTTTGAACATGTTTTAACTCTATTTTTAATAAATAATAATGCTTAAAAACCAACACACATCCACATCCATATTTTAGTAAATGACACTCTGACGAATCTATACAAAATATTATTACATGTTGGCAATTAATTAAAAGTTCTGAAAAATAGCAAAACTTTCAAATAAATTTACCAAATTAGTGCAATTTGTTGCAAATTAATGAAATTTATATTTAAGTGCAAACTAGGTTAAATTTAATATTTTTATGCAATTGCAACGATCCGCATATTGATGAATCATTTTTTACAGCAAGTGATAATTAATAAAATATATAACCATAATTTACCAAATTAGTGCAATTTGTTGCAAATTAATGAAATTTATATTTAAGTGCAAACTAGGTTAAATTTAATATTTTTATGCAATTGCAACGATCCGCATATTGATGAATCATTTTTTACAGCAAGTGATAATTAATAAAATATATAAACCATAATGACGTGAAATATTTATATATAAAAAAATAATATTTTCACTTGAATTGTATACCTATTGGGAAGTAGAAACATTAATAAAAAAATGTATCTAAACAGAAATTATATTTTTAAAATGGAACAGATAAAAAATATTGTATAGCAAATATGGGTCAGATGATTTTGAGATATTTTAATCGTAATATCAGTAATTAATCATATATTAAAGGTGAAATTATCAATATTGCGAAATCAATTGTAACGTAATTAAATAATATATCCACAAATACCTCAAAAATAAATATTAGTAGTTATTAATTTCCCGTAGGATAAGTTATAGTAATCCCGAAAATTCGAAAATAAAAATGTTTGCACATCTTTACGTGTCAAAGGTTTCTGAAAGTTTTAGCATACCTTAGAAAAAAATTGATGTTTGTGCGTGTGTGTTTGGATACAACTTTTCCTTCACGATTTTGGAAGCATGGATTGATCAATTTCAATTTTCCAAAATTGATTCGATTTGTATAGATGGGGAGAGGTTCTGATTCGGCAAAGACAGGTTTTGCCGTTTCAGAAATACTGAGCAAAAACTGCAAAGAATAACAATTTTTTAGAGAACGGAGCATCCGATTAGAATGATTCAAAAAACGTGTAGCTTGTATTGACAGTGTGAAGCAATGATTAGTTTTTGATGAAGAGGCCCAGCGGTTTCAAAATTTAAAAAAAAATCCAAACTTCGTTTCTTGTAAAAGGGCGACAAAAAATCACAAAATATCACGTGAGGGAGGGAGGGGTATAGTAAGATATCACGTGTACTTATTTTCTATCTATTTTTTTTATAAAAAAACAAACAATTTAAAAAAATTCAAAAATTTTACAATTTCTTCACGTAAGTAAAAACTCACGTGTGTTCGGTGATAGAGGGGGAGGTAATGAAATTTGGAGTATTTATTGATATAAAAATATTTAAAGCAGTTGTTATTATACATACATTGAGCAATATTTGTTGATTTTTAATTATTTTTATTCTTCGAGTGTGCGGTACGAGAAGTTCCAGCAATTTGTCTTAAGCACAATGCCATGAATAGCCAAATGTCATTTTTTTAAACTTATTTTTATAGAGAGTCCATAACCGCTGGACCTGCCTTATCAAAAATTTAATCAGTTCTTAATCTTCTCAATTCAAGTAAAATGTGTTTTGAACTATTAAAATCGGACGCTCCGTTCTCTTAAAAACTGAGCTACCATTTTTGGCACTTTTTGCCGCGTATCTTCGGAACGGCTAGACCTGCCTTCGCCAAAAACTAATCAGCACGTCTCCTTATCAATACGAATCGAATGCTTTTTGAATTATTCAAATCGGTTGGTCGGTGCTTCCGAAATCGTCGACGAAAATGTTTATCCGCACACACATATACACACACACATACATCCATTTTTTCTAAGGTATGCCAACATATTCAGAAACCTTTGAAACGTAAAGATATAAAATAATTTTAATTTTAATTTCTTTGTGATTGCTATAATTTACCCTACGGATATTTTAATAATCACTGATTATAGTAGGTATCATTATAATTATATAAAACATATAAATGCACTCAATCAAAAATTTATCTATGTAATTGTAAATTTGTTATTACCAATTACCATTATCATAATGTTGTTTAATTCATAACAATCAAAATAGAAATCACGAATTCACGGAAAAATCTATTGCCACGATTTTAATCAAATTATAAAAGTGTTAAACGCCACAAAAATACAATCGGATCTTCTTATTGTGTCAAGTCAAAACCTCAACGTGGCCGAAAAACGGTAGAACACGTGTCGAACAAAAGTCCGGCCGTCTCTCTTCTTCCCGACCCTCTTCGCGAGCCGTCAGACAAGGTTAGCCGGTGTCGTCTCCCGCGGTCTTCGAACGCGGCGTGATATGTAAGCTATGCCATGCTGTTGAACGCACAGTCGGCTCACGGACACGCTGATAGGAACAACGGACACGAATTTATCAAATACCTTACTATCAGCCGAAACGACGTGATTTTATTTTATTTTTCATTTTTAAATTTTTTCATTTTTTAATTTTTCCATTATGTTGTCGCGGTTTTTGTGCCTGTTTCTCGTGGTAATTTTAGGCGTGTCGGCCGATCAAAAAAATGGAGAATTGAAGATTGACGTTGTTAGCGTGCCGGAAGGTTGTTCGGTGAAATCGAAAAACGGTGACATGCTGACCATGCATTACACTGGAACGTTGGCCGATGGGACCAAGTTTGACTCAAGGTAGGATTGTAAAGGAAAATTGAGGGGATTCCATGCATTTTAAATGGTTTGGCAGAAGATCTGACAGGGGATTCCATATTTTTTAAGTCTTTGGGTATTTGCCTTAATCTCATAAATTCATATCTCGATATTTTTTTCAAGCTGCCTGGAAAGGCATCCAGTAATTTTGTTGACTAATGTGTAAGATAATATTTTAAAATGCTACCCAAGAGATATTCATTCTAAGTTAGAAAAATAGATGGGAAGAATATACAGAAAATAAATCTAAACAAGGAAAGGGAAGGACCATTGATTTTGTGGTATTTTCATATCATGGACCTTCGGGCAGACTACTATTTATTATTATTATTATTATTAATAATAATATCAAAATATTATTGTCAAATATCTCTTTACCGCCTTTTTGTAAAACCAAGAGCAAAAAAGCGGAAGGGAGATATTTGACAACCTAATATGTTAAGTTTTCTTGGAATGTGCGTGGAAAGCAAGCTAGTTGATTCGAATGTTTTTCCGGTCTTGTCTTGAATTTTTGTTTTTTTTTTCAATACTTTGAATGTATTGTATTGTATATATACAATTAGATATATTTCATACGATGCCATCGTAATGCAAATCAACGATCCTGTTGTATCCTAGACACCTATTAGACCACTTCACCAAAAAGACCTCAACGAGTTTTTTCAATGTATAAATTTTTCAAGATATTTCTCTATAACACATTTTAAACTAGAACTATTGTTTATGATATTTCAAAGAGTTTAGATATTTTATATCCCGTTTTTTATTATTTTATATCCTGGTTAATCCTACTTACCTATTAGACCACTTTCCTTGACTTAACGAGTTAATTTCAACTACATCAATGTATAAATTTTCCAAGATATTTCTGAATAACACTTTTTAAACTGCAATAGTGTTTGTAAAATTGCATAGTTTGGAATATTTTATAGCCTTTTGGTTCATAGTTTTTGTCTTATTGCATTAGCGCTATTATTTTTATATACTATAACAGGCAATGAGATTTCAATTAGCAAAATTGACAATTTATTTATTTTAAAAACTTACATTTACATACAATGTCAAAATATTGCAAATACCTATTAGACCATTTTATCTGATAGTACTTAACGAGTTAATTTCCATCACATCAATGTATAAATTTTCCAAGAATTTTCTGCATAACACATTTTGAACTACAACTATTGTTTGTAAAGACTTTGGAATATTTTATAGCTCATTTTATTATTTTTTAACTTCCCGTAGGGCAAATTATAGTATTCGCAAAAAAATCGAAAATGAAATTTTTTATATATCTTTACGTTTTAGAGGTTCTGAATATTTACCTTAGAAAAGAATGGATGTTTTTGAAAATTTTTTAGCATTACAATGTTAGTTAGAATGCCTTGGACTTGTAGGTAAATAAACGCTTTTTATATTGTTTGATTTTACATCTTGGTCATTTTTTTGCCTTGCTATATTAACACTATTATTTTTATAATTTTTTTTACAATACTCTATTATGTGAGATATTTTTTATTTCTTTTATTTACTGGAAACTTGTTTCCTAATTTCCAAGTCTTCGTTTTTTTATATAAACTTTTTCAATTATTTATGGTCCAAATAATAAAAGGTTAATGTATCTATTAATTTATCGCACTGTTTGAATAACGTTATTTCACACAAATGTTTAAAAAAAAACTAACGGTTTTCAATAGCAAATTAACATTCCTAGTGTGTTTAGTGTACGCAATGACAGAAAATAATTCATTTGGCGATTTATCGAACATAAAATTTATTCTGAATTATGAATGACGTGAATTTTTAGTCATAAAACATACACATATTTAACATAGACATATTTAATTTTTACTGCACTGTACACGCATTTTGATAAATAACAAACATCCTGTTATTCAAACCGCCACCTGGTTTGAGGAAAATGGTCTATTTTTGTCTATTATTATTATTATTTTCATTTATTAAATATTATACTTATTTGCTATTTAATATCTATTTATTGTTATTATTATTTTTAATTGGCCTGGCTTACTATTAGAGTATTTTAGCCACCTACAACATTTCATTTTTAAATTCTATACTATCTTTATAAATGTTCAGTACTATCTTTATATATGTTCTATACTATCTTTTTATATCCTATCCTATTTTCCTATTTTCCAATTCAATCCAATCCAATTAATAATAATCCAATTTTCTTTTCTTTGCTTTTTTCAACTGATTGCTTCAACCTTCTTATCTTCTAAATCTGAACTTCTCCAGTTCTAATCTTGGTTTTCTTCTTACTTATAATTTTATTCCAATTCAATTCAACAATTCAAATTCTATTTAATTTTATAATAACTATTTTTGAATTATTCTTTTTATTCTATGCAATTTCAAATCAACAATTCACATTCTATTTAATTTTAACTCAACATTTCAAATTCTGTCAGTGCCAAGGTTCGATCCAAGGATCGCTGGCGTGTGAATTGGGCATGATGCTGACTGAGCTATTTTTTCATTTTTATAACATAAATTAATATCTAAAATTGAAGAAATTATCAACTAGATAATTGCACCGTTAAAACTTTGTCTGTGCAATTTGATTCCGACTTTTTTGCGAATAATTTAGGATTTTTTCAATCACATTTTTCATATAAATTCTGCTTTATTATTGTTACATAAACGAATAAAAATGTATTTATACGACTAATTATATTATCTCATAAATATTACTTAATGAATGTAGGAACACCTATTATCGAATCGTATTTGTTTCTATTTCTGGTGATATGTAGGCGTACTTAACATATAAGTATTACTCTATTTATAAAAATAAGGTCATTATTAATCTTCGTACTACTGCCTTAGTGCCATTAATTAATTGTTTTCTGGGTGTACAGAAATAGTAGGTTGTAAATGCTACTAATTAATATAATTCTTCTTGGTACATTTACTCAATATTTCAACAATAAATTAGGAGAAGTATCATCATATCCTAATGTCCAATTACTTGATTGGCATTCGGTTTAGACTTTTTTTTAATTATAAGTACTACCAAAAATTTGCTGATATTTTTTATTTGCATCTAAATAATAATAATAATAAAGAATAGGTTTAGTGTGCAGAATTTTCAAGTACAGCTCTGTTTTGTAAAAATATAATTACACCTAAGTCTGTTTTTACGCGGAGATTGGTTCCAGAAGAATCCGTGGTAAAAAAAAAACGTGTAAAAAAAGACATTGATCTTATACAAAAATAGGTGATTTGTTCCTAATCTCTAAAACCTATTAAAATTGGTGAAAAACAAGAATTTTTAAGAACAAGAATTAAATTAGTGCTATTCACATTTGCTTTGACCAGTAAAAATTGTTTGTACGCGCTAAAGGGGAATTCACTTAAATCTTTAAGCTAGTGTTTGCAAACTATCGATACTATCGATGGTTTCAGACTTTTTTCTTTCATAAATACTTTTTTGTGATATGAACATACTTCGCAAAAATTTAATTTGACAAAAAAAATTTAGGTACATAAAATTTCAAATCGTGCTAAATGGAATAAATTCGTGCAAAAAATTAAAAATATTCAATTTTCAAACCGTGTTATATCAAAACCGTGTACAAAAAGACCGTGTAAAAACAGACTTAGGTGTATATGTTTACATTGACTGTCTATGTTTACTAACGTTTTGTATGCAAATTAGCCATTATAGTGTGGGTAAAAGCAATAATCAATTTTATGAGAACTTTGAAACTATTATTAACATATGAAAATATACGAGAACGTGCTCACTTTTATTGCACTTAGGAATTAATTGATTCGTTCATTCAAGTTTATATGTGAATTTAATTATGCTTTTTGTAAATAAATTTGAGAATTTTAAAATATATATTATACTATATTTATTTTCTAATATACAGACTTCAGTCAGTTGTAAAAAAAATATTTTGTATAGTTTTAATGTTAGAGTAGTTAATTTTGACATCTGAGTAGGTTTTTCTAAGGCGATACATTAATAGAAAAAATTAATCTTAACGTTTCGACTTAATTTTTCAAACTTTTCAGAAATGTTTAACTTCCCGTAGGGTAAGTTATTGTAATCGTCAAAAAATCGAAATTTGTGCATTTCTTGACGTTTTGAAGGTTTCTGAACAGTTTGGCATACCTCAGAAAAAATGGATGTGTGTGTGTATGTATGTATGGATACATCATATATATGAATTGTCTATAAATGAACCAATTCATATTTCAATCAAACATGATCCATATAATATAAATCATTTAAATCGTTTATACAAAATATGAATTTGCTTAGTTTCGGTAATCACCAGTGATTTATTGTAAGAGAATTGCAAAACGTCTACCAATGCTTTTAAAGATGAGAATTTTACTTTCTAATATTCTGTGCACGCAACACTGATGGAATATAAAGGAAAGTTCGTAATATGAATGATGACAAAGTTGATGAGTAATATATGACGCAGATATATAGATTTTTTATATATAATAAATATGCATTTACGCAATTACCATTTTTTCTCTGAGAGCAAACTAATTTGCGTCCATCCGTAGCCAGTTTTCCAACTAAACTTGATGCTTTTATATATATTTATATATTTTATGATGTTTTCTATATATGATATAATTTGATCTAAATTTCAAGATCAGCTTTGACCTGTGTGTGATAATTCATAACATATCATTTCAAGATATGATTTGGATTCTTTTTGGCGTTCGTCGACAACTTTCTGACCTTCATACAAACTTGTTCGTTTATTTGTTTCATGACATTTGCAAACTTATTAAATCTTTGTGAGAGTTTTTGACAGAAGCGTAAATAAAACCCGTTTTGGTTGAAGTTTTGAGAAATTGGATAAGTGCATCCTTAATATCTTGTATGTCAACCTTATGGGTTCATATAAGATCAATGTTTCTACGTGTTTGTACATACTAGAATTTCATAATTCACATACACAATTCTTCAAAATATATTAAAAACC